ACGAAACTCATGATCGAGAGGCGAGTGTCACAGGAATGGAAGAATTACGTCGATGGTACCAAACCGAAGTCTTCGCGGTAAGCGACGCTCAGCAGCATCGCTGGGAGGAACGACGCTGGGCATTCCTAGGACAGTTGCAGTGCGCGTCTGAGCAGTACTCACGCTACTACCCCAATCAGAGGACCCTTTGATTAGGCACGCATTGCACAATCCATTAACGCATACGGTCCGTACATTCAATGATATATTTTAAATTGGCGAACAAATTCTGCCAGGTTTTTGCTTACAACATTGATGCTTTACCCACCGAAGTGACAAGTACCATATTGGATGGAGCTGATAGTGTCTGCAGCGTTCGATGCCAATCGGCTTAACTCTAGTCTAAAGTCTTGCATTCAAGGCACACCGAGTTCTGCCTTTGGTGGCCTTTTATTTGTTGGGCGTTCGCGATATAATGACATTGTGCGACGCTGTGGCCTTACTTCTGTTTGAGCAATGCATTCACTTCAGGTGGTTGCTGACGAGACTGTGAGTCGCGTGCATTGTATCATTGTCCGCTCTGTTGGCCACATGCTGGGTTTGACGAGTATGAGCACCTACTGAATTAGCGTGATTGCAGGTACTGTTGGTGTCTTTGATGGCTGGTCAGGCTATGGCACATCGACGCTAGAGCGTGGCCGGACAGACCGCCAGTGCGAAGAGTCTGCCATTGACAATAGGCGACCTCTCATCTTTGATGAAGGGGAGTCCTTCACGCTAAGGGTGCACTCATTTTGATTGGCATTTCTTAACAAGAAACATGCAGGTTGGGAAAAACGCGACAATTAAATTCCCTGGCTAAGCATACTGGATTTAAAAGCAAGTATTGTAAAGACTAGCGGTAAAGACTCAGCAAGTGATGAATGGATCCAATCATCTGGGCATGAGAAACTAAGGTTGCGACTGGGGCTGAACATGGGCAATTCAACAGCCTCCAAGTAGCCCCCAAGTGGCCTTGGCCAAGTGAGCGAGCGATGGACACGAGAAACCCAACGAAGCTGACGAGAAACCCAACGAAGCTGAGTTTAAGGCTTGCCCCTCTCCCTAGTCGCCCTTAAGAGCCCCGGGTCTGGCGCCATCTCTGTCCAGGGAGCCCGTGGGGTCCGTGGGGCGGCGGCGGGTGCGCGGCGGGGTCGGGTGGGGCCTCTTCCGGGCCGCCGCGCGACCGGTCGCGGCGGCTCATACTCTGGCTCATACTGAGCCTACTGAGCCGGCTCAGTCTCAGTATGGGGGGCGATTGCGGATCGCTGGATTTCCCGTGGATGATCGAGACAACAATCACAGTTAGCCTACCCTAGGAGACGTGGCGGACGGAGGCGTCCATATTCGGGGTCACAGTGGCTGGGGCTGCCTTTTGGGGTGGTTGTCGGGGGCGGGGCCGCGGTCGTACTCAGGTCGAACTGAGTCGGGACTGAGTAGTTTCAGTCAGGGTCGTCGTCGGCGGGGCGTTCAGCCTATGCCCGGCCGTGGTCTTCGCATTTCTGGAGGACGTAGAGTCGCTCCTGTTCGGTTCCACGCCACGAGTCGAGGTTCCGCACTATGCTGTTGGCCTCGACGCCGTGGAAGCTGCTGCGTGACGATCAAGGTGGAAAGCAAACGAGCTCGCTGTGCCGGTAGCCGCGCCGGCGCAGAGACGGCCTCCCCGGGGTGTGCCGGCACAGTCGAATCCGGCTTGTGCCGGCACATTCCGGTGTGCCGGCACACCGCGCGCGGTCCGCGGAAACGCGTCTATGCAAGTTTGGAGCTATAAAAGCAGCTAGTTGGAGGCTAGTTACTTCTTCTGCGCAGGGCCCCGGTTTCTCGCAGCATCGGGAGTCGTATATCATCGTCCCTACCAATTCCCTTTAGAGGGGCTCTCGGTTGGTCGGTCGCCGCAGCCGCCGCCGCCGCCGCCGCCGCCGCCGCCGTCGTCGTCGTCGTCGCCGCCGTCGTCGTCGTCACGCGCGCGTGGAAATTCGAACCCACAATCAAGAAAAAAGGATGTCCGGACGTAGCATTTTGTTCCGTCCGAAGGACGAATTCGTACATAAACCACACGAAACGACCATTGACCCAGGGGCTGCCCCGTCGGACGCGAAGATCGCGACCGGAACACTATGTAACGCGACGCGCGCACGATGTCATGACGCTGAAACGCACTGTGTCATGGCATGATGTTCAAAGCGACTCCGGGCCCACCCCCTGGGCCCCGGTCGTAGCATGACGTGCGCAGGGGCGCTTCAAGCAAATCAATTCAGCGTCCGAGGGTTAGAGTGTGTTCCCGCTGTGCCGGCACACGCCCAGGCCCCGGCCCCGTCGACTTTGGGCCCGACCAAACGTGCCGGCACACCGACAAAACGCTATTTCTGGTTGTGCCGGCACACTTCGCTTCGCCAGATCTGCCGGCACACTGTGCCGGCACAAGATACACCCAGCAGGGGGTAGACGCGCGCGGAATTTTTTTCGGGTCTCTAGCCTCCCTTTAGGCCCCACTCGATCCGACTAATATCCCGGCGCGGCTAGCTTAACGCAGATAGTCCCGACCGCGCGGCTGGCGCCTCAAAAAGTTTTGCTTTTCACCTTGCGTACCATGTGTGGTACCATTCCATATATAGCCGTGTAGTACATAGTACTGTAGTCCTAGTTAAAGAACACCCTCGTTTTTGCTCTCCGGGAGCTCGGGAGAGCGTCTGGAGCTGATCATCTCTCATTTTTCGCCGCTGGCCTCGCGCCGCGCGCCCTCTTGACACGAGCTAGTTCATGCCGACGCGCAGCTCTACGCGAGCGCGTTGGTCCCCGCGCGACGACGCTGTCGCGCGGCGCGCGCGTGCGCGTCGCTGACGGGATGCCGCGAGAGCGAATCGGGGGGACCTTTTTCGGCGCAGCAGCGCCCGCTGGATCAGTTCTGCGTGTCTCGCAGTCTCTACGGGTTGCCTACGCGTGGCGCTAACAGACCACATTCTCGGTTACTCACGTTTCGCGCATCTGGTGACCGGAAAGCTGCTCGAAGACCCGAGAGCGATTCGCGAGCATTCGCTCTTCGGCGGCATCTGGGCCACCCTGCGGCCGCCGCACGTGTCCAGAGGTTGGTGAACATGTCATACACTGTCCTTGGCCCCTCCGAAGCCCCCACGCGCGCGCGCGCCGCCGCCGCCGCCGCCGCCGCCGCCGCCGCCGCCGCCGCCGCCGCCGATGATGATGACGACGAC